CATCATGGTGTACAGGTCGACCAAGCTCTTTTTCTTACAAATATAAACATTATATAAATAAAAATTTAACATATAAAATTAAGCATTAAAAAAATGAAGAGTAAAATATAATACCATGCGAATGGCATGTTCATTCATGCTAATGGAGCCACATGTGTGCATACTTTCGCCCTTTTCAGATGCTCTATTTTTTTGTACTTGTGTACACTTTGTACGATATGTAGGTGCATTCCAAGATTCTAATAAAGAATTCCACACACGATCTCCAATCCAATCTGGTTTCTTATTTTTCTTCTCTTTGTCGATTAAGTTGAGTTCTATGTTCATTGATGATCTATTATAGGAACCAACACTTGATTCTACGTGAAAAAGATAGGTGAGGGATGATAGAAAGGTAGTCACACAGTAGGAAGAATGTGGTGGGTGGCAGCACAAAAGGAAGAGAGTTGCATGATGATGACATCATGTCAAGGGACTAAGTCCTAAAAAATCTAAGAGGAGTAAGTTATGCTTAAAGGAAGAAAGTCCAACCTCTTATTGAGCTTTGAGTTACTTTTTGTAACTTACTTTTTTATTTTTTTTGTATATTTTTTCTTGTAAATATTTTCTTAATTTTTAACCTTGTATTTTGGAGCAAATAGTATAGGAAATTATTTCTTCGTATAATTAGTATTTTAGGAAAGGTATAACCATAAAAAAAAATATTTGGATTTATTGAACTTGAATGGCCCATGAATATCTCATTGGGCACATGATCCAATGGAATGGACATCCACTTACTTGGGTCAAGTAAGTTAGATGTCACTTTTATAAAAGAGACAAAATGTTTCATGGTCCATTCAAAACTCTAAGAATTATTATTTTTTATTAAATAAAAAATCATAATAATAATAGTGATGTCACTAGTGCAAAAATAGCTTTTAAGATCGGAGTTTTAAAATCGGTTAAGGGGGAACCAATTTTAAAAGGGAGGCAGTGACATTTTTGTAATTAAAATCACCACTTTTAAAATCGGTTAAAAATTAACCGATTTTAAATAGTATTTTAAAATTGGTTGTTATTTACCTGATTTTAAAAGGTGGCTTTGTTACTACTTTTAAAATCAGTTGTTTTAGAACCGATTTTATATATAGTATACAAAATCGGTTCTAAAATAACCGATTTAAAAAAGTAGTAACTAAGGAACCTTTTAAAATCGGGTAAGTGATAACTGATTTTAAATATGGATCTTTTAAAATCGGGTAAGTAATAACCGATTTTAAATATGTGCGTTCTTACTCACCTCCTTCACTCTTCAGTTGTCTCAGCTTTGCGTTCAGGGTTACGATTTGCCTCCATTCGAGTTCCCTTTCGTCTTCACCGCCATTGTCGCGCGTCGTTGCCTCCCGTAAAAAGCAACTTATTTAAAATCGGAACCAGAACCAGAACCAGAAGTAGAAACAGAACAGTAAAAAGCGGAAGCAAGTCTTCACCGCCATTGTTGCGTTCTTATTTTCCCTCATTCGTTGCGTTACATGGATCGAACATTTGTTGCCGTTTTGTTAGGTTTACCGTTATCTATGTTTCATGCTGTTTCAGATTGGTCAAGACGTGGATGAAGATCCTCGATTGAAAGTGCTGAGGAAGGAATGGTTTGAAGGCAAGGAGTATCTTGATAAACAGCAACTTACCAAAGAATTGTATCGTAGTGCTTTCCTGGTGGGTGTCGACTCTGAACAAAATTTTCTCGTTTAAATGAAACTACATTTGACAGATCAATTTGGTCTGAAAAAGAATGCTCCTTTGAAACAGTTTTTCTGAGATTCCAATATGCATCCTGAACTCGAAAAGAGACAAATCCCATTTAAAAGCCAAGTTAAAGCACCAAACTCTAAAACAGAAAAATGAATAACAAATCCTGAACTCTAAAAGAGACATTGTTAAAGAAATAGGGAGAAAAATACCAATCTGTATGGTGATTATCCCATTGTTGCAGCCAATATCAAGATACTCCTTGCCTTCAAACCATTCCTTCCTCAGCACTTTCAATCGAGGATCTTCATCCACGTCTTGACCAATCTGAAACAGCATGAAACATAGATAACGGTAAACCTAACAAAACGGCAACAAATGTTCGATCCATGTAACGCAACGAATGAGGGAAAATAAGAACGCAACAATGGCGGTGAAGACTTGCTTCCGCTTTTTACTGTTCTGTTTCTACTTCTGGTTCTGGTTCTGGTTCCGATTTTAAATAAGTTGCTTTTTACGGGAGGCAACGACGCGCGACAATGGCGGTGAAGACGAAAGGGAACTCGAATGGAGGCAAATCGTAACCCTGAACGCAAAGCTGAGACAACTGAAGAGTGAAGGAGGTGAGTAAGAACGCACATATTTAAAATCGGTTATTACTTACCCGATTTTAAAAGATCCATATTTAAAATCAGTTATCACTTACCCGATTTTAAAAGGTTCCTTAGTTACTACTTTTTTAAATCGGTTATTTTAGAACCGATTTTGTATACTATATATAAAATCGGTTCTAAAAACATTAGGTGTTCCTATACCATCTGGGGATGGAGATGGTGTGGATGTAGCACCTAGGGATGGAGATGGTGTAGAATGAATAGCTATGGATGGGGATGACATAGAACCAATAATTGGGGATGAGGATGGTCTGGATGCCATAACTGGGGGTGGGGATTGTGTGGATGCTAAAACTGGGGGTGGGATAAATGATGTGAAGTTGTCTCTACGTGACAATACTTTAATCGCATATTTCTTCTTCCCCTTCATTACCCGCTTCCCCTTATTCTTGCTAGGTGACGGTGGACGGGGAGGATCACAACCTCTTGATGACATATCTATTCATTGAAAATAAAATTACAAAATAATACCCAAAATGAAATTATAATATAAAAATAGACAACAAATCAAATTTATAATACTAGTTGCATAATTATGATTATACACTTTGATATCAAAATCATACACTTCAAATCCAATTTTTCTAATCCTATTCCTAAATATAGTCTTCAAACTCATCTTCAAAATCATCATGAAATTCATTTTCTTCATTGTTTTATGCCAAATCATTTTCTTCATTGATTTGCTCATTGACTTCTTCAAGATCAACTTTTAAATCTTGTAATCCCCTAATTCCTTCAACTTCAATGACTTGATTGGCATGTAACATTTCATCTACTTGATAAGGTACATCATGTTCTATATCATTAGATTCTATTCTACCTCTTGGCTTTGTTTTGATTGCAACACACCAACCACGTTTTTCCCTTCGTGTTGCAGGATACGGGGCATAATACACTTGTCTTACATTGTGTGCAATGATAAACGGATCAAATAGTTGATATCTTCTATCCATTTTAATGTCCACAATATTATATTTGGGATCAATTCTTGTACCTCTACTCGATGGATCAAACCAATCACAATAAAATACCACAACTTTTTTAGGATATATGGAGGTGTTGTACTTTAACTCATACATGTGTTGAATAACTCCATAAAAATCATCTTCTCCTCCTTCTATAAGGCCTTTAACATAAACACCACAATTTATTGTTTTTTCACCCTCACTCCAGGCATGGGTGTGAAATTTGTACCCATTGATAAAAAAATGTGTGCCATTCTTTAACACAAGTCAGAGGACCATATGATAAATCTCGTAAGTGTTGGTTTCTCACAGATAAAGGCTCGCTGTTAACCTACAAAGGTAAGGTTCATGAAAGGTTTAGGGTTTAGAATTTTAGTTAAGAAAAAGTAAAATAAGTCTATGGATACATACTTGATTCTTGAACCATGTAGGAAATTCTGCATGTATACGAGTAGAAGCATTTGATTCACTTATTTGTTGGGATTGTAGGAATGAACTGTCCAATTATATCACTCAAATTGTAAATGATAAGGATATTGAAGTCCTAATATAATAAATATTGGGAATTTTGTAAATTACTTACTCAAGGTATGGTTTAACTTCAATACAATTGATCAACACATGAACATGAACTGAGTTTAACTCTGCATCAGTTAACCAATGAGTCAAGTTGGTTAAAGACTGATAACATATATGGCCACCCTTGACTTTCGACTTCCATTTCGTTTCTATAATTTCGTGGTGACAACATAAAGTTGTTGAAATAATGAGAGCAAAAATGAGTTGTTTCACGGTGCAAGTAAGAATAACAAATTGAGCCTTCAACCCTAGCTTTATTCTTTATAGATCGTTTAGCATTACCCATGAATCTATAGAATGTAATAACTTATTAATAATTGATAAGAATTAAACAAAATTAATTTCATTAAATTTCAGTCATAATTCTATTACCTTTCAAACGGATACATCCGCCTATATTGGACTGGTCCACCAAGTTTAGCTTCATATGCTAAATGAAAAGGGAGATGCTCCATTGAATCAAAGAATCCTGGAGGGAATATTCTCTCTAACTTGTATAGAATAATTGGAATGTTTTTTTCCATCTTACTCAGATCATCCTCCCTCAATGTTGTAGAGCACAAATCTTTGAACAAATTACTTATTCAATAAGTGGATTTAAAACATGAACTGGTAATGAACTAAAAGAAATTGGAAGCAGACACTCCATAAATACATGACAATTACGACTTTTCATTCCAATCATTTTTCTCTTTTCAACATCAACGCATCTTGCCAAATTAGAAGAATAACCATCAGGCATCCTAAGTTCTTTTATCCACTGATAAACTAGTTTTGCTTGCTCTACAGTTAATATGTAGTTTGCTTTTGGCTTTAACATCTTCCCATTATTTTGTGGCTTTAGCTCCAAGTCTTTTCGCCTACAATACAAAGCTAAGTCCTTCCTTGCCTTTTCATTATCTTTAGTCTTATCAGATACATTCATCACAGTGTTGAATATGTTGTCAAAGAAGTTTTTTTCTATGTGCATAACATCAAGATTATGTCTCAATAAATTGTCTTTCCGGTAAGGAAGATCCCAAAAGATACTTCTTTTTGTCCAGTTATGTCATTGTCCATGTCCATCTAGTCTAAGCACACCATCTTCTATGACTTTTGGTAAATTCATGACTCTATGCCAAACTTGTTCAGGAGTTAACATAGGTGGTGGCCCATCCATTTCAACTTCACCCTTTCTAAATGCATTCTTATTCCTCCTAAATGCATGATCGCTAGGTAAAAATCTACGATGTGAGTCAAACCATGAAGGCTTTGTTGCATTTTTTAAAGTAAATGCCTTTGTATGCTCCATGCAATGAGGACATGCAAATCTACCATGAGTGCTCCAACCAGACAACATGCCATAAGCAGGGAAGTCATTGATAGTCCACATCAAAGCTGCCCTCATCATGAAATTTTGCTTCCTTGAAATATCATATGTTAGAACACCGTTCCACAACCTTCTCAAATCATCAATTAAGGGTTGTAAATAAACATCAATACCAGCCTTTGGATTAGATGGGCCTGGTATGACACAACTTAGAAACATATAAGGTTTAGACATGCACATTTCTGGAGGAAGATTATATGGAGTAACAATTATTGGCCAACAAGAATATGGTGCAGTTGATGCTTGAATATATGGGGTAAATCCATCAGAGCATAAACCAAGTCGAACGTTACGTGGATCAATGGCAAAATCTGGATGGACGCGATCAAAATGCTTCCAGGCTTCACCGTCAGATGGATGACGTAATATACCCGAACTTCTTCTATTCTCATAGTGCCATGTCATTTGCCCAGCAGTTTGCATTGATGCAAACATCCTTTGTAACCTTGGAATTATAGGCAAATAGAGCATGGCCTTAACTGGAACTGGTTTTTTATTAGTTGTTCCAGTGTTATGGTTCTGATACCTAGGCTTATGGAAAAATCTACATTTAATTAACTCTCCATCATTTTTTCCATATTCATTATCATAAAACAACATGCAACCATCAACACAACAATCAATCCTCTTAGTCTCTAATCCCAACTTTGATACTAGTTTTTTTGCATCATAAGAATTTTTTGGCAAACCCCTTTTAATGGGTGTGACGTCCAATAACATTTGGCAAATAAAATCTAAGCATTGATCAGGAACCTTCCAATTGGATTTGCAAGCTAACAACTTCACACACATAGATAATTTAGACTCGGATTCCCCTTCATACAATGGCTTATTTGCCTCTAGCAACAAGTTATAAAATTTTTGAGTTTCTTCATTTGGAGGCTCTTCCATGTCATGTGTATCTCTCGGTTCAAATGTCTCTTGTTGCCTAAAAGCATCACACACCATCTCTTGCATTGACATAAATTGATAACCTTGTGCCACATTTACACCACTACTTGATGCATTCATGCAATTATCATCAATATCTAAATAAATATTTGGCATCTCTTCACCATGATCTGTCCAAATCCAATAATTTGGCTTGAACCCATGTTTATAAAGGTGAAATTTCACAACTCTATCCTCCAAAATATGTGTGCAATCACATTTAACACATGGACATCTAATCCCACCATCACTATGAAAACGATCCTATTGACGAGCCTTGTTTACAAACTCATCTACCCCTTGTACAAAAGACTCTTTCAAACCTCTTCTACCACTATAACACCTATCGTATACCCAAGCACGATTTGAGAGAAAATAATACATATTTTGTAGATTCAAAAAATTTACCTAGTTAATTATCACATATTATATAATTGTCAACTAATTTAGTTACGTGGACCTCTATATTATATAACTTGAAAAGCAGTACAATAGTTATATGTAAAGCACAATATAGTCATATTACAAAATAGTAAAATTTAATCATAAATACAAGCACAAAATATAAACAAATTTCAGTGTTTTCCAAATATTAGTCATTGCCTCAGTATCATGCATGTATACTAATAGTTTTTTCTCTATCTATAAACACAAAAAACAAAATTAACAAGCATACCTTGAAAGTACGGTGAAACAATTTGTTTCCTCTAAGTTAGAGTACAACGTCCACTAGAAGAATTTAATAGCAAAAATCTCAATCTGTTAATAAAAAAATTGAAATATAATTTATATAAAATCGGGGAACAAATTCAAAATATTTAATCAGAATCATATTTTCATCCGGATGAAGAACGGGCCGTTCCGGATGAAGAACAGGTCGTTCCAGATGAAGAACGGGCCGTTTCGAATGAATAATTAACACAATACGAGCAGAATGGCCCGTTCTGCAACCCGTTTTGCTTGTAGAACGGGCCGTTCCAGAAACAAAAATTGGGCGAAACACAGCTTAAACGAAACCCTAACATGCGATTTAATAAATAAAGAAAGAAAAGGAGAAGTTGCATCATTAATGGGACCAAAAACTTCCTATCTATCAACAAAGGAATCACCTGCAATGAGATGAGACCACAAGGAGCCACAATGAGGGAGGAGGAAAAATTCCCTTTCCACGTAAATGAGCCACCTGCAGCAGCTAAGGGCCTTTGGGCATATAAAACATAAGACACACCTTTTTTTTCTGTCAAAATAATTATTAAATATATTAGTATTATATTAAATTTTTAAATCAACTTTAAATTTTATCTATAACTATTATACAAAATATATTAAGGTTATGTAATTATTTTTGGTCTCCACTTTTTAGTGGACCATTATATTTTTTTGATATAAAAAAAATTAGGGAATTGTTATGGTACCCTCAAAGATTGAGGGGTTTCAATACATTCTTAGAATGTAAACTCATAAAAAAATTTAAAAAAATAATTTAATTATAAAATGAATAATCCAAATTATATTTATAAAATAAAAAGTAAGATAAAATTATAGAGATTAAAATTATAAAATTTTAATAATGTTATAAAACAATAAAAAATAAAAGAATTAATAAATAATAGAAATAAAAAATTATTAAAATTACAATATAGAAATTCAAAAATTTAAGACAAAAAGACAAAAATATACTTAAAAAATAATTCAAATTAAAATATAGAAATTCAAATATTTTAAGTGAAAAGACAAAAATATACTTAAAAAATTATTAAAATTAAACTATTTAAATATATAATCATATTATTACAAATAAAATTAGAATATATAAAATAAAAATATAATAAATAAATAATTTAAAAATTAAAATAATAAAATATCATAAATATTATTTAAATAAATTATTAAAAATATAAAATATAAAAAAATTATAATTACTGTAACAACCCAATTTTCATAGAATGTACGATGGCCCAAAAGCCCAATGAGGTTAATTTAGTAATTCACAGGGGTGTTTTAGTAGCCCAGAATGGGCCTTCCAAGTTACTAAAATGAAGGTGATTTAGTGGCTCGAAACGGGTCGTTCCAAATCATTAAATTTGCCTATGATTCTTAATTGGGAACGGGCCGTTCCCAACTGGAGTGGGTCGTTCTAGATTTCAGAAATGGCCTTTAAATCTTATTGAGAACGGGTCGTTCCAAATTATGACCGTTGAGAGTTTTTAATAAAAACCCCGAACGGGCCATTCTGGTTTCAGAACGGGCCGTTCTGGTTTAGATGTTAATTTTACTTATGATTTAAGTGTCTAGAACGGGCCATTCCGGATTTGGAACGGGTCGTTCTGGAGACACATGATGCCTATATATAGAGCACTCTGACACTCCCAAAAGGCACACTTTTCAATTTTCTCTTCTTTTCTTCTTTGCTCTCTTCTTCTCCTTCTACACTCTTGAAGACCGAGGGACACCAAGGAGATCTCTATTTTAGTTTCAACTACTGTTTATCCAGGTACGGGGGAAAAAGAGGTTATTTATATGTAGAGTTACATGAGGGAATTGGGTAGAGGAAGAGTCCCTTAGGATTATGAGTAATTTTATAATTATTTCTGTTTGGAGAATTATTGATCTTATGTGATTCTGTATATATTTAGGACTACGAATATATGATTTATTTGTAAAAAAGATGCTCTGGGAGAGAGAACGAAATTATAGAAAAGTGCTTGTAAGTTAGGTTTTGGAAAAATTAGATTATTTCTGTTTGAGGAATTAATGATACCATTAGATTTTGTATGTGTTGAGGATTAGAAATATATATTTAATTTGTAAGAATGATGATTTGGGAGAGAAAACGAAATTGTAGAAAAGTGCCTGTGAGCTAGGTTTTGAAATAATTGGGGGTTTTACCGTTTATGTTAAAATTATATTAAATTGATAATTCCATTGATTATTTTATCAATTTATGAATGTTATTGTTATATTACTTGATAAGAATTGATAATCTAGATGTGAATTGCTTGAGGGGTGTGTAAACCCTTATTTTGTTGGACTTATTTGTTGTGTATATCGAATTGTGTATGTGATATGGAATTGAGCTATGAGATGAGATGTTGTATGGATGTAATTATGATTGTGATTGTGGTTCCTTACATCAATGACCAAGGATGGCATGACCCTTGGGTAAGTGATGCTACAGGGAGGGCGTGACCCTAGCATGGTGTGAGATGAGTGAGACAATTGACACATATCACTTATGTCAAATATGGCAGCCCTGACATAGGGTTAATTGCAAGAGATTGTGTGGATTGTGATGTGATTGTGGTTCCTCACATCAATGACCAGGGATGACACGGCCCCTGGGTAAGTGATGCTATAGGGAGGGCGTGACCCTGGCGTGGTGTGGGATGAATGTGGCAATTAACCTGTATCACTTATGCCATTTGTGGTGTGGCCTTGGCATAGTGTTAATTGTAAGATTTGTGTGGATTGAGATGTGATAAATGATTGTTAATTATGATATATATATAAATGCTTGTGAATATTTCATGAATAATGATGAGACTATGTTGTGTTTTCCTTATGTGTTTTACATATAGATGTTTTCTTTTCTCACCGTACAATTTGTGGATGTTTTAGGTGAGGAAGATCTGGCTTTGAATGACATCCAGAATGCCAACTGTTGATTTATGGGCATGCTCTGATATTGTGACATCGGGGCAAAGGATTTCTAGGGCATGAATTGTATTTGTATATAGAGTTGAACCTATTATCTTGAAAACATTTTGTAACCTCTTATATTTTATTTCCCAAGTTTCATTTTCAAAATATTTTGGATATTGAAGAATGTTTCTAAAGGTTTTTATGTGAACCCTTTTACCAACATTGAAAAATTTATTCGTTAGTTTTATTATCCTTATACGTGTTGGGGTAGTAAGGGTGTCACATATCTTATTTTGTGAGTGTCACTTAGAGGTTGCAAATATCTCACGGTAGTGGTCCCATCACGACACTTATTAGGTGAACCTTTTCAAGGGTGGTCTGTAACACCCACCCTTACAATAATTGTCATTGAGTCCATTAAGAAGTATTTTTAATTTTAACACAATAAATATAAATATTTGAATACCTCAACCTTGTTATTGTCACATTTTAATTTAAAGTACAACTCACCATATGGATGGAACGTGCAATAGTTTACAATTTACAATGGTTTACTTTAATTAATAAATAATTTCGTTATTACTCATCAAACTCCATTCATAGGATCGTCATGTATTTGGAGATGGGTGTCCATTATTGCAACTAGTTAATGGACTTTAGCCCCATTACCCTCCACAATTCAAGTACTTGTTGACACATCTACCCTTTTGTGAGTGGATCCATAAGATTATTTTTAGACCTAATAAAATCAACAAAAACAACACCACGAGATATCAAATTTCTAATAAACTTATGTCATATTCTCAAGTGCCTTCTTTTTTCATTAATTTTTTTGATAGTAACTTCAACAATAACAACGTGACTATCACAATGCATTGAAATTGGAGATATAGGTTTATTTAACAAAGGCAAATCATATAATAAATTTTTAAGAAATTTGGCCTCACTACTAGTAATATCTAAGGCACTTGTTTCAGCTTCTATAGTAGAACGAGAAATAATAGTTTGTTTAGCAAATTTTCAAGCTATTGCACCTCCAGCTAAAGTAAAGATATAACCACTAGTAGATTTAGTTTTGTCAAAATTAGAAATCCAATTTGCATCACTAAAATCTTCAATTGCAACAGGATAACATGTATAGTGAATGCCATAATTAATAGTTCCTTTAAGATAAACCTTTTAAGAGCAAGCCAATGTTAATGATTAAGATTATGAGTATATCTTCCTAATCTACTAACAACATATGCAATGTTCGGTCTAGAATAATTAGACAAATGCAACAAGGAATTAATAATTTGAGAGTATTTAAGAGGAGAGACACCTTCACCAATATTTTTCTTCAATTTTATATTAGAATAAATAGGGTAGAAAGAGGTTTCACATCAAAATAATTAAACTTCTTTAACAAATTTTCAATGTAATGTGATTGTGTCACAACA